AGCTCTGTGCTTCATGACGTTGTACCGACCAACCATGCTTTTGCACCTTGCGTGCTCAGGAGTCCGTAGCGGACAGGAAGTGGACAGAGGGATGGGTAGCTCTGTGTGCTTCATGAGGTTGTCACGAGCAACCATGCTACGGACGCGATGCATTTTCGGTTACGGAAGATGCTGAAAAGGCCACCGTTGTCAGATTAGACACAAGATTGAATTTACCTGGGCCGGTTAGTCCGATGATAATACCTCAAGGCCATCGCCCTTTTTAGAAAAAAAAAAAAAAAACATTCGGTTGAATTTGGTTAAAAAAAAAAGAAAAAGAAAGAAAGATGCATTCGGTTGAATTTGGTTAAAAAAAAAAAAAAAAAGATGCATTCGGTTGAATTTGGTAATTGCTTACAGGTATGGGGCTGGGCTGTCTTGTTGTGTTGTGCTATTGGGCATATGATACGCATGTGCGGGACTGTCTGTAAGCCAGCAGTACCCCGCCCAGGCAAAAAAAAATCGGATCTCCTGAATTCATGGACGAGCTGGGGCCAAGTCCCACTGGCAGCGTTGAGCTAGCTCAAAGCCGGAATCTGGACGTGTTTGTGGAGAGGTGCAGTTCAGGAAACTCGACACCATTTCTGCACATCTGCGCAAAACCGTCCACATTCAGGCGTTGAGGTAGCTCAACGCTGATAGTGGGACTTGGTCCCTGGGCAGGCCTGGTGGAGGCTCGGTAGAGCGGCCCGGACTGGCATTGGTGGTCGCTCGTTTTCAAAATGGAAACGAGCGACCAGCACAACCAAAAAGAAAACAGCAGGAAAAAAAAAAAACAAAAAAAAACAGAAGAAAAAAAGAAGGGAAACGAGCGACCAGCACAACAAAAAAGGAAATGAGAGGAAAAAGAAAACAACCAGCCGTTCACAAAGGACCGGTCTCCCACTGTATCTTTCTTTCTTTTTTTTTTTTTTGTGGTGTGTATCTTTCTTTTCACCAGCTGCATCAACACGACACGAAGAGGTTGGGTCGGTGGGTTGTAAAAGAGGAGGAAGAGGTTTGGAGGATTGCTTTGGAAGGTACTCTGGTGGCTTGATGCTTAATGCTAATGATGGCTGTTGCTGTTCCCAAAACCTCTCGCACCCTTTTTTTTTCTGTGTTTCCCTCCCCCCCCCCCCCCCCTTCACCTCTGACACTCTTTTCTTTGGTGGATCTTGCTGTTGTCAAATTGACAGGGCGCGTTAAGTGCATGGAACAGGCCCGTGCCGAAAACTCGAATACAACGTGTATATGCGTTATGTTGTTCCTGGTGGTCTATTTGGGTAAGAAGAGATCTTGAGGCTGTAAAGCTCTGCTGAAGGAAGTGGAATTGAAAGCAAGAGGGCTTGGCCGTTGGAAAAGCATCTTGGGAAAAGGCTATCTGACTAAGAAAACAGGAGGAAGGAGGGAGGAGGGAGGAGGGAGGAGAAGGGACGGTGCGAAGAAGTCATGGCAAGCATCTTGAAGAAGATTGGTGAGGCTTTCACCTTTGGAAAGCCGACCGCCGATTTCAAGGGGATGAAGATACCGCACATCTCAACAAAAGACATCAAATTGGTCTTCCACATCGAGGTGAAGAACCCGAACCCGATCCCGATCCCTCTCTGCGACATTGTGTACAAAATCGTGATCAATGACCGAGAGTTTGTCAAGGGGACCAGTCCCGATGCTGGGACATTGCACTCTCACGACTCCAAGGTGATTGATATCGGGGTGGATCTTGTCTTCAAGGACATCCGCGACACATTTACCGACTTGCAGCCCGGCTCAATGGTGAATTATTTGCTCAGGGCCACTTTTCTTGTGGATATCCCTGTCTTTGGGCGATTCGAGATACCGATCGATCACGACGGTGAATTTCCGATGCCAGCGATACCCGATATAGATGTGGACGAAATAGATTGGGTTGATTTGTCGTTTACGGAGACGAAGGCGGTGGCGTACGTAAAGCTGGAGAATTTAAACAAATTCACGATGAAAATCAAGACCTTTGAGTACAAGTTGTATCTGACGGACGATCTGATCTCTGAGGGGATGATGGACCCGTCGATGGGACTGGCGGAGAAGGAGGTGACCAGGCTGACGGTCCCGTTCACGTTCCGACCCAAGGACATGGGCCGGGCGATTTGGGACATAATAAGAGGGCATGAATCTGGGTACACATTGGAGGGAAAAGTGACCGTGGAATCGCCGTTTGGTCCCATTGAGCTTCCATTTAAGAAGGGAGGCGCTACGACGTTGAAGAAGGCGAGATCGACGGATGAAGAGACGGTGAAGGAGGAGGCTGAGAAGAGTGCGGCGGCTGCTGCCGCTGATGTCGATCAGACTGACTATTACGCATGACCGGTTCTTTGATGACCATTTGAGAGGTGGGGAGGAGGGGGGGGGGGGGAGGTAAGAAGATAGGGCACAGAAGAGAGTCCAGATGTACTTACTTTGAGAGGTGGTTATGATGGCTATTTTTGGGCTAATGGAGGTGTGGGTATGAGCGGTTCTTTGATGACTGTGTCACAGAGGATGGGGAGGAGGTAAGGCAAGACACAGGAGAGAGTCCACGTGTACTTACTTTGAGAGGTGGTTATGATGGCTATTTGGCTATTGGAGGTGGTTATGATGGCTATTTGGCTATCGGAGGTGGTTATGAACGGCTCTTTGATGACGGTGACACAGAGGATGGGGAGGAGGTAAGGCAGGAACAGAAGAGAGTCCACATGTTCTTACTTTGAGAGGTGGTGACGATGGCTATTTGGCTATTGGAGGGGGTTATGTCGATGTGGCTGTTTGAGCTGGTTATTGCTTATTTTTCACTACAGGAGGTGGTGACTATGGCTATTTGGCTATTTTCGATTTGCCGTGGTGATGGCTAAATCATTTGGCTATTTGAGTCGTTGACTGGCTGGTAGACGGTTTGGCGACCTTGGGTTTGAAGTCTTTTGATGTATTTTAGCTGTATCCGCAAAGACGGTCAAATTCTGAGAGGATGGGACGGATATGGGGGTTCGGTTTGGTTTGGTTTCGGTACGCACGTTCTTCTCCTTTCAATCGTGGTTTGGAGTCCCCATTTGGTCCTATCTTCCCATATGGATGTCTCTTTGGTCGCAATGGTGTGATCCGTTGGTCCTTGGTACTGCAGTCCTGTTCCGGTCCTTTTGCTCCCGGACCCATTTTGTCCCAGTCTCATTCAGGCCAGGTACCATTCGCTCCGAGTCCCATCTGGTCCTTCCTTGTGCTTCAGGGATGGAAATTCTGGTGCGTTGGGTACTAGCGAGGCTCTGGCTTGTTCCGTTTGGTCAAGGCTCAGTCTTTTGTTCTGTTTGGTCCAAGTCCCATCTGGTCCTTCCTGTGCTTCGGGGATGGAGATTCCGGCCCCAAGTCCCATTCGGTTCTTCCTTGTGCTTCAGTTACCGAGATTATGGCCCCAAGTCCCTTTTGGTCCTTGTGCTATAGCGATGAAGATTCTGGCCCGTTGGACACGAGCAAGGTTCTGTGTGGTGCTTTGTTGATGATACGGTAAAGGCTCAGCCTGTTATGGGGAGGCAAAGGATGCTACAAATACATGAGGGGGCAATGATAAGCTTGACGTGCCGCAGGATCTTCATCAGTTAACTGCCAATTTTCCATCCAAGCATGTGAGTGGATTGCATGCATATGAGGGGGCAATGATAAGCTTGACGTGCCACAGGATCTTTATCAGTTATGGGAAATAACTGCCAGTTTTCCATCCAAGCATGTGAGTGGATTGCATGCATACGAGGGGGCAATGATAAGCTTGACATGCCGCAGGATCTTTATCAGTTATGGGAAATAATAACTGCCAATTTTCCATCCAAGCATGTGAGTGGATTGCATGCATCTGGGCACTTGACGAGGGAGGGAGAAGCGACAGAGAAGGAGTCTGGTCGGGGAGGGAGGAGAAAGAGAGGAGACCGCTGTGTTTGGGAAGTGAGGAGGAGCAAACCGAGTATGGATGTCATCTGAGATCTGAGGGTGAGGAGGGGATGAAGTCTGCATGGCGTTGTGGTGGTGGTGTTTTTCTGTTGGCAGCTTGTTGTCGTTGTTGGCCATCGGTGTTTTGCATGAGGGGATCGCAGCATGCATCTGGAGATGTAATCTGGAGCATGGAGTCAACAAAGGAGGGAGGAGCGACACTGAAGAAAGGGGTGGGGTTGGGGAGGGAGGAGAACGAGAGGAGGAAACTGCTGTGTTGGGGAGCGAGGGGGAAGAGTGGAGAACCAGCAAGCAGAATATGGATGTATTGAAAGAATTAGCAGGTGATGAAAGTTCGTATGGCATTGTCGTGCAGTGGTTGGCCATGGGTGTTTTGCATGGTTCATGCTTTTGCTATTGCAATCAGTGGAACGTTGAGGGTGCCCACTTTGCAATGTGCAGCGAGCACAGCGCAAGAGAGGTGGTCATATCATGGGGGCCGGGGGGATGGGGGCTCCGTTTTGAAACCTTGAACCTCGTGGTTTGCATATAATGCAACTGCATTTGTTAACATGGGAAGGCGAAAACTTGTCGTTGCCTGTGAATCTTTGCAATTCCTGTATCATTTTGGGTTGAAGAACGTTGTCCCAGTGCGTTCAGCTCCTCATTTTGGCTTTCTGTTTTCGCACTTATCAACCACATAGCGGAGAGAGCGAGCAAGCGAATGCTTGTCAAGAGAGAGAGAGAGAGAGAGAGAGAGAGAGAGAGAGAGAGAGAGAGAGAGAGAGAGAGAGAGAGAGAGAGAGAGAGAGAACG